AAGTCAAATATTTTGCAACTGCAAAAATGACCTGCGAGAAGTCTACTTACGAAAAGTCTACTTTTCATAGAGAAGTCTACTAATATTTTGGCAATTGCAAAACTAACCTGCGAGAAGTCTACTTTTATCCGAGAAGTCTACTTTTCTTGTTTTAAAAAAAAATCATTTTTATACAATATATAACGAATTTTTAAGATTTTCGTGATCCTAAGCTTCTGTTATTAAGTTTTCTTGCTTTTGTATAAGTTTTGCATGTTTATATTTTATAGGTATAGTCGAATAAGTTTTCATGTTTTATATGATACTTAGCTTATAAAGAGTAGACTTCTTAGTCTACTGTAGAAGTCTACTATGTAGACTTCATCCGACTTTCAGAGAAGTCTACTTATGCAATTTTGATGTCTAATGTGGTTTGGATTTTGTTCTTTTTTCACAGAGAATAGCTCACATACCCGCTGTTGATGGAGAATGGGTTAAGAGTGAATCAGTGTGGCAGTTCGAGATGGATAATAGCAAAGGAGGGTGAATGTTGTTCTTAAGAGATGGTTGCACACATGGTGAGCTTCTTGGTGAATGTTGGCAAAGGAGGGTGAATAGCAAAGGAGGACGAATGTTGTCACCTTTAAGTTATGTAAAATTAATGTTTTTAAGAAGTCTACTCGAGACAATGAGAAGTCTACTTCAGAAGTCTATTCGAGACAAGAGAAGTCTACTCGGTTGACAAGTTATATGATATAAATGAGAGAAATGTCCCTCTGAATCACTTTTAAGTTATGTAAAATTAATGTCTTTTAGAAGTCTACTCGAGACAGGAGAAGTCTACTCGAGACAAGAGAAGTCTACTTGGTTGAAAAGTTATATGATATAAATGAGAGAAATGTCCCTCTGAATCACTTTTAAGTTATGTAAAATTAATGTCTTTTAGAAGTCTACTCGAGACAGGAGAATTCTACTCGAGACAAGAGAAGTCTACTCGGTTGACAAATTATATGATATAAATGGGAGAAATGTCCCTCTGAATCACTTAAATTAATGTCTTTAAGAAGTCTACTCGAGACAGGAGAAGTCTATTTTGTAAAATAGATAAACATAGATAATTTAGGAATTTGATACAAAACATTCAATGCAATTCAACATTACATAGAAAATAACCCTCTAAACAAACAAACATTTAAGGATCACTAATTATAAATCTTAAAATTGGCATAAGAAATGACTAGTAAACTAAAATCTCTGAAAACTATGTATGCAACTGAAGTCTGCTTGAGAAGTCTGCTCGAGATCGAGAAGTCTACTCGAGAAGTCTGCTCGAGATCGAGAAGTCTACTCGAGAAGTTTACATTCAGATCTGCAAAAAAATCAACAAAATTCAGCTCTGCAACAATAACGAAAAAATTAGATCTAGAACAAAATCTATAAAATTTATACAACAATAAACTCAGATCTACAAATATAAACTTAGATCTACAACAATAAGCTCAAATCTAAACTAATAAGCTCGGATCTATAATAATAATCTACTATATTTATAACATTCAGATCTGTACAAAAATCAACAAAATTCAGCTCTGCAATAATAACAAAAACTAACAAAATCTACAAAATTTACACAACAATAAACTCAGATCTACAAAAATAAACTTAGATCTACAACAATAAGCTCAAATCTATAATAATAATCTCAGATTTGCAATATGAACACAAAGCAAATAAAAAGAGGAACACAAAAGCTCAGATTTGCTTACCACTACCATAACCTGCAAGTGAGAGGAGGTTGAATGCAAGATAGAGAGGATGGAGAGGATATTGATAGCAAGAGAGGAAGGAGAAGAAATTCATGGCCAGAAAGAAGGGAGAAGAGAGAGAGAGAGGCATTTTTTAGATAGAGAGAAACTTTGTTGTTAATACAATTAGGTTAAACTCTCCTTATATATGTAGGAAAAAATTCGTGTAAGTAGACTTCTCAAAGAAGTCTACTCGAGAAGTCTACTCGAGAAACCGAGAAGTCTACTCGAGAAGTCTCTTAGTATTGATTTTTATCCTAATTTATCTATGATGATTTAAATTGATTATTTTCTGTCAAATTTTATTTTTAATAGGTGTAAAAAGTATATATTTGTTGTTATGTATCTAATTTTTTTTATTAAATTATCTTTTATGATTTTTAAAATTAATTGTAAACATATTATTAAAGAGTAGACTTCTTGGAGAAGTCTACTCGAGAAGTCTACTTAACTTCTCGAGTAGACTTCTCTGGGATAAAATAGTAATTGAAGTTGACGTTTTTTTGTTTGGTCATAAGGGTTAAAGTTGTAATTTCACTACTCCTGTGAGTTATTTTTGTCAAACATGCAATAGGAGGTCTAGTTTTGCATTTCAACTCAAGTTTTGAGTCATATTCAGCAATTCCCCCTTAAATTAAGTGTCATTATCTCCTTTTTCTAATATTTTTTATTGATTTATTTTTGTGTGCTATCCTTATTACTAAACACTTTATTTTAAATGACTTAAATTAAATCAAATTTAACTCAAACCAATCACAAATAATTCAATAATTTCATTGGTTTAGTAAGTTAAATTAGTTACCTGTTTTATTAATAAAAATAAAAATTATTTTTGTGTTTTAAACCTACGAGTATTTATTGTTTTGCAACAACTTTGATTCACATATTATACAAACGGAAAAATATTATTTTTCGAAACTTCGGACGAAAGTAAATGTAAATCTCGCTTTGTATAAATTTAAATTTAAAACGAAAATAACTAAATTTTCCCAAATCTCGAATTTAAATACCCAAATATTTTTTAAAATTTAATAAATTATAAAATATCTCTTAAATATATTTACAAACATCACTCCACACGAAAGTGCGGATAATAACCTAATTTATATAAAATCTATTTCGGTTGTCAAAAATAAAAAGAAAAATATAAACAGTACTATACTAATAAAACAGACCACTATTCAAAGGATTTATATTTAGTAAGGGCAACATTATTAATAGATTCTAACAAAATATCTATTTATCAATATAATAAAAAATGAAAAATAAGGAAAGAGAGTGAAAAACAGTTCAGATATGAAAATGTTAGGTGTTAATAAAAAATTGTGTGATACGTTTCTGGTGTTTGTCACTTTATGATTAGTTGAAATTTTTAGTGTAGTTTAAACTTAATTATTTAAATAAATAATATTCAAATTAATAATAAAATAATTATAAAATACTATTAGAGTATCTTAATTAACCGATGGCTATGCTCAAGTTCAGTTCTATAACAGTAAGTACTACACTAATAAAAAAAAAAAACTACTGGTATGTAATTATGTTGTGTGTTTATAATGAAAATTAATGTAATCCTCTGAAAAATAGAAAAAGATGCATGATGACAAAAGAAAGGTAATCATTTAAAAATATCCGTAATTGCTCTTCTTCATCAAATGCAGGTTATTCTCCCTGTAATTATGGAGTTCATAAGCAAGCATTTTAGAAATAATGATTATTTTGATTAATAAACTGAGAGGGTGATACATATATTAATTACACACAACACAAATATATTAGAAAATGTAAAATCAGATTTTGAGAATACAGCACATCAATTGTACATCTGAAAATAAAAATAACGTTTCTGAAATTCACATAAATAAATATTATCAACAATAATTAAAATTCTCTAACCAGAAAAGCCTAAAAGATTTCTGGAATTCTTAATCTTCTTCATAATCAAATATCTACATGACAAATGATAAATTATCCCCTTTATCATTGCCCTCGGACTCTTTGAAATCTTTTAATATAATTAAAAAATTCGAAACCGTAGGCTTAATGATGACTGTCTTGGACAAGCCATCTGATCATTTATAAAAGGGAAAATTACAATGAATAATATTTTACACATTATAAAAATGTCTTATAGTGTATGTAAATATTTCAAGAGTGAAAAAATAATAAGTGGAAAGGTCTAAAACATTAGCCGGGGATTAGTCGATATTTCAGTTTATGCATGGTCTCAGGATTATGAAAAGGGGTTAAGACATTTTTTGATAAGTATTTAGAAATATGGATTTACTCATTTTCTATTTCAACTCTGTATTTATTTTCTTTTGGGAAAAATTGAGCTTCAATGAAATGGGAAATATGGCTGTACCAAACTCGAGTTGGACTAATAAATACATATATACAAATTTACAACCACAAAAAAAAATTCCTAAGGTCGGTCAGGCTTCTCTCACAGTAGCAAAGCCAGCGAATGACTAACTCTTGCAAGTTACAACTCATAAAGATAATTATAATATAAATATCTTTATTACACAATATGCTCTTGTTGAAAAAACTAAAGTGTATGACAATAACATATTTAAGATATTGTGATACACATAACTAAAGTGTTTGATGAATGATCAGTCTGATGATGATTAAACATATTTAATATATTGTGATACACATAATTCGTAACATTCTCAACATATTGCGTTATTAATTGTGTGATTTCTAAAAAAAAGTTTCACAGTTAAATTTCACGCCTATATCACACATGACACTACAACATGAATGAAAAATATTACTTAATATATTTTATTTTCCTATATATTCGGTTTTCATAGAACATTTAAAATCATTTATCGATTTTATTCCATACTTGCGAAATATGGGAATCCATACTCAACGTTCTTTCAGAGAAAATTATTTTAATAGTTTTAGAAAAATACAATTTTTGAATATGACAAAAGTAGAATACGTTAAACATTTGATCCGGACAAATGGTAAGCTTTCCCACCAAAAAACCTCAGCTTCAATCAAATGAGTTATTGGGTATGATTGAGTTATTAATATACTCAACTAATTTTCTTTTCGCAAGTTATACATACTTACTGTATTTAGTTATTATTATATATATTGAATATTCTATATATATCCAAGCATGTACATCGGTTTCACCTATACATACCCCATTCCTCTCGTTCAGGAAAAATCGGCGATCCAAAAAGGAGGAAAAATATGAAAATCTTATCTCAAATCCAATTTTTTTTCCTCTCCATTGCTCTTCTTATCTCCATTACAACCTCATCAACAACTTCATCAACATATTCAAATCAAACCAACATAGATTTCATCAAAACATCATGCAACCTCACACTCTACAAAACCCTTTGCTACACCTCTCTATCTCCTTACGCCTTAACAATCGATTCAAACCCTAAAAAACTCGCCGTCACAGCCCTCAATCTCACCCTCTCCTCTGCAAAATCCACAGCCAAATTCATCAAAAACATTCGTCACGGCAATCTAACACGTTTCGAAGCGGCTGCGGTTGCCGATTGCGTGGAGGAGATTGGAGACTCGGTGAAGGAGCTCCAAGATTCGATAAGAGTGTTGGATTCAACTAACCACAATGATAGCTCGAAATTTGAGATGGTTATGTCGGATGTCGAGACATGGGTTAGTGCTGCTCTAACGGATGATAACACTTGTATGGATTGTTTCGTCCGAGACGGTCGAGCCAAAGCGGCCGTGAAAGATTTGGTCCGGCGACATGTTGTCAAGGTTGCCCGGATGACTAGCAACGCGCTTGCTTTCATTAATATGTATGCGTCCACACATGAAAAATGATCATAAATGTTCATGATAATACACAAAATTGTCATTTTCAAAAAATACACACAATATTGTTTTTTATTGGCAAAAATTGCTTATGATTGTACACTATGTACCCATTATAAGTATTGTGGATTTTTCTATGTATAGTACATAACTATTGATTTTCTGAAATTTTGTGTGTATTTCTTTTGTATTTTTATTAATATGTTTATTAATTATAGACTAAAAAATATATGAAATTAAAAAAAAAAATTACTACTACAAACTAATTTAGCCTTTTTTTAACTCTGATTTTGTTAATCTATTAATCATAAGGTATAGTGAATTTGTATAATTTTGCTTTAATTTAGTTTTTCTGATGTTTTAAGAATATACACATAAACAGTGGTGAATATAATCAAGATATCGTTGAGCTCTTTTGGGTTTACTCAATGGGCTAAACAAGGCCCATATAGTATTAATGTAGGTGTCATGGCCGGTCCCAAACGGTAAAGGCAGCAACGCCGCTCCGCAAGGCAATGGAATATGAGACCTTTACGGCGATGCTTCCGACGGAGAATCCCTTTAAAAGGCTCCTTCAACGCCTTCCGCTGCCGTTTTTTGTTTAATTTGTGACGTTTACTCTTAGGGTTATGCAACCACAGATTTTAGATTGCCCCCTTCTCAAGTAACCGATTTCTTGAAGAGAAAATCGCGTCACGTATCATAAGATCATAAAACTCGTGTATAAAAATCAGAAATGGACCCTAAGAGAGAGACGAAATCGAGTTGCAAAGGAAACGAATTTGAACAGAAGATGATGAGATTAAGCTAATCCCCGTAGCACTATTTATAAGAAATACGGCGAAAACCCTAGTTATGTGGCTTGGAGCCTAATCAGAAAATTTGGATTTGGTCAAGCCTTTTTAAACCCAAAATAAGGAATTGGGCCGTTCAAAATGTAGCCCATAATAAAAGAAAGCAAAAAGCTTAGCAAACTTATTATAAGATGCTCTCTCACTAAGCACATACACATATGCTTAATTCCCTTGTTAAGGATGATTATATACCAAACCACTGACCACTCGTTACCAAGTTTTGTTGTCACTTTTGAGATCTCTAATATGTTGTTCATTGCTCAAAACAAGTCCTCGAGTCTCTAGACGGTGACGTGTCTCCTTATCCATCCATTTCGACCAAATAAAACTTTCAGAAAATTTATAGACCATATAATTTTTTTTTTGTAAACGGACGAAAGAAATCAAATATTATTATTTTATCCAACGGTTCAGAAGTAAACCACGCAAAGCCCAAAAGGCTTCGTTATCCTCAAGCCATACGAACAATAACGTTAGCCGAAGAAGTGAGAGTGACCAAATCGATAGAAAGAGCAAAGAGGAAGAAGAAGAAGGAGAAGAAGCGATTTTGGCGAGGTCACTACGCGATTAAAAATGGCGGCGGATGCTCTGAGAATCTCGAGTTCTAGTTCTGGCTCGTTGGTTTGTAATCTAAATGGGTCACAGAGAAGGCCTGTTCTTATTCCTCTGTCTCATCGTCCTACCTTTCTGGGTCTTCCTCCTCGAGCTTCATCTTCTTCGATTGCCTCTTCTCTTCCTCATCTTCTGGGTAAAGCTCGTATTGGTCTTGGTTCTTCGAAGCTATCACACCGGAAAAAACAATTCTCCGTCTTCGCTGTTGCCGAAGGTCGGTCTTTTCTCGTCTCTCTCAGAAAGCTTTCATCTTTCTCTTACCCTATTTCAATATTCGAATCACGAGTATGAAACATCTGAAAATGCCTTCTAAGTGTTCGTTAAATTGCCTGTGTGAAGTGTTTACTAGTTAAAGTTCTAATATTTATTGGCCTTTGGTTCTGTTTTATTTACTCTATGCTGAAATCCTTCGATGGCTGCTGATATGTAGGAGACGCGAAGCGAGCTGTGCCGCTTAAAGACTACAGAAACATTGGTATTATGGCTCACATAGACGCCGGAAAAACCACAACAACCGAGAGGATTCTCTACTACACAGGACGAAACTACAAGATCGGCGAAGTGCACGAAGGAACAGCCACAATGGATTGGATGGAACAAGAGCAAGAAAGAGGAATCACCATTACTTCAGCTGCAACCACAACGTTCTGGGACAAACACAGAATCAACATCATCGATACCCCTGGACACGTCGATTTCACTCTTGAGGTCGAACGTGCTCTTCGAGTTCTCGACGGAGCTATATGCTTATTCGACAGTGTTGCTGGCGTCGAGCCTCAGTCCGAGACTGTGTGGAGACAAGCTGATAAATACGGTGTGCCTCGGATCTGCTTCGTGAACAAGATGGACCGTCTTGGAGCTAACTTTTTCAGGACTAGAGACATGATTGTGTCCAACTTGGGTGCTAAGCCATTGGTGCTTCAGTTACCTATTGGTGCTGAGGATGTCTTCAAAGGTGTTATTGATCTTGTGAGGATGAAAGCTATAGTTTGGTCAGGAGAAGAGCTCGGTGCTAAGTTCAGTTACGAGGATATTCCAGAGGATCTTGAAGATTTGGCTCAAGAGTATCGGGCGGCGATGATGGAGCTGATTGTTGATTTGGATGATGAGGTCATGGAGAACTATTTGGAAGGAGTTGAGCCTGACGAGGCCACGGTGAAGAGATTGGTTAGAAAAGGAACCATCACAGGGAAGTTTGTGCCTATTCTGTGTGGTTCAGCCTTCAAGAACAAAGGTGTGCAGCCATTGCTTGATGCTGTGGTTGATTATCTGCCTTCGCCGGTTGAAGTTCCTCCGATGAACGGAACAGATCCCGAGAACCCGGAGATTAACATTATACGGAAACCAGATGATGACGAGCCATTCGCTGGTTTAGCATTCAAGATCATGAGTGATCCTTTCGTTGGTTCTCTTACCTTTGTGAGAGTTTACTCAGGGAAACTCACAGCTGGTTCCTACGTGCTGAATGCTAACAAAGGGAAGAAGGAGAGAATAGGGAGACTCTTGGAGATGCACGCAAACAGCAGAGAAGATGTTAAAGTGGCTTTAACAGGCGACATTGTGGCTCTTGCGGGTCTTAAAGACACAATCACTGGTGAAACCTTGAGTGATCCTGAAAACCCTGTGGTCCTTGAGCGTATGGACTTCCCTGATCCCGTCATCAAGGTAGCGATTGAGCCGAAAACGAAAGCAGACATTGATAAAATGGCCACGGGACTGATCAAGCTCGCTCAAGAAGACCCGTCTTTCCATTTCTCCCGTGATGAAGAGATGAACCAAACCGTCATTGAAGGAATGGGAGAGCTTCATCTCGAGATCATCGTTGACAGACTTAAAAGAGAGTTCAAGGTTTAAACATAAACCTCTAAATTCTAATCTTCTCTTCTTCTTCAATGTTACCAATCTTCTAATTCCCTTTTTCATCTCTCTCAGGTTGAGGCTAACGTTGGTGCACCGCAAGTGAACTACCGTGAGAGTATCTCCAAGATAGCCGAAGTGAAATACACACACAAGAAGCAATCAGGTGGACAAGGTCAGTTTGCTGATATCACTGTCCGGTTTGAGCCATTGGAAGCAGGATCAGGGTACGAGTTCAAGAGTGAGATCAAAGGAGGAGCAGTGCCAAGAGAGTATATCCCCGGTGTCATGAAAGGGCTTGAGGAGTGTATGAGCTCCGGTGTGCTCGCGGGTTTTCCGGTTGTTGATGTCCGTGCTTGTCTAGTCGACGGATCTTACCATGATGTGGACTCGAGCGTGTTAGCTTTCCAGCTTGCTGCAAGAGGAGCTTTCCGTGAAGGGATGAGGAAAGCTGGACCGAGAATGCTTGAGCCAATCATGAGAGTTGAAGTTGTTACACCAGAAGAACATCTTGGTGATGTCATTGGTGATCTTAACTCTAGAAGAGGACAGATCAACAGCTTTGGAGACAAACCTGGTGGTCTCAAGGTACGAAATCTAGAAATCGAATAATCTAAAAACACAAACTTTGTTTGATGAATCTGATTTTGGCGTTCTTGTTATTGCAGGTGGTGGATTCTCTGGTTCCACTTGCAGAGATGTTTCAGTATGTGAGTACGTTGAGAGGGATGACTAAAGGTCGTGCTTCTTACACAATGCAATTGGCTAAGTTCGATGTTGTTCCTCAGCATATTCAGAACCAGCTTTCGTCCAAGGATCAGGAAGTTGCTGCTTAAGACAGATTTTTTGTTTTTTTTGTTCAGGACTAATCCTACACTGGAAAAGTATTGTGATTTTGTTTGGTTTATATAGAAATGTAAGCGAATCATTTGTCTTAAAACACATGGATAAGAAAAAGAGAAAAAGATTAAATCAGAAAAGTCTGAAAAAATAGGAAGAACTCGATTTTGGTGTTGAAAGAGTTACAAAAAGGTAAATGAATCTGCCAAATCAAAATCATGCAAGTGTTTATTTCATCTGGACGATTCCTGAGCTGATAAGCTTTTGGATTTTGTTCATGACCATTGGGTTCTGCATGTGCTTTTGTGCTGCTGCTGGATTCTCCTGGAGATCAGACAGTACCTGTTGGAAGAAAACGAGTGACATCAACATGGAGATAACTCAAGATCGGTTCACACAACATTGGTTTCAGAATTGTGAAAACATTGAAGTCTGTTTCTTTACCTGTCTCATTACAGGGTCTGTGAGAATGTTCTGGATTTCCGGGTCTTGCATTCCCTTAGCCTGTAAGAAGAAAGAGCAAAATCCCAATGTTACATAACCTAAAAGCTCACTTAAGTAGAAGTTTCATATAACAGACGTTAGAATCTAACCTGTCTTTCTTTCAACTCCTCTGGAGTAAGGTCACCACGGTTTGCCTTGTTAATCTGTTGCACACATCTGCAGAAAAGTTTCACAACACGTTACATAGGCACAAAAATTACAGAGTGAATCATCTCTGTTAGTGACATTACACATGTTATTACCTTCTAACACCGTCAAGAAGCTCCTGGTTATTAGGATCATGTTTGAGACCTTCCTGGTACGTTTCCATTGCATTGTCATACTCCTTCATGAAGAATTGCACTGCACCTTTTCTGCTGTATCCCTTTGAGAATGTTGGATCCAGCTCGATACATTTCTCTGCATCCTTCAAACCTTCGGGCATCGCCCCAAGTTTTGTGTAACATGCGGCTCGGTTGCTGTATGCCTATGTGAAGTTCAAAGAAGAACAAATTAATCAAACTATCTAAATGGGAAACCTTTGTACACAACACCAAAAGAACATAGAATGATGAAATTAGCCTTACCCTCGGGTCCTTTGGATTCCTTTTGATAGCTTCCGTGTAATGCCTCACAGCATCAGGGTACTTCTGCTCCTTGAAAAACTCATTACCTGTATAACAAGAATGTTAGCTCAATCACTTGTACTGACGAGAATCTTCCCTCACATATAACAAGATAGATTTTTTCAAAGCATATACCTTTCTCACGCTCCTCATCACCAATACTGGGATCAAAATACTCTTGCTGCTCCAACTCTTTCTTGGCTCTCTCTGCCTCATTCAGCCTCTTCAACGTGTCTGGGTTACGATGCTCTGTTAGAGCTTTCTGGTAAGTCTCAATCACAGGTTCGTAGTCTTTGGAGCACTTAGCCATCTTCCCCTGAGCAGTTCCTTTCCTAGTCAAAGCTTTAGCTACCATCTTATAATCTGACCTAAGCTCTCTACCCCTTTCAACTGCCTTATCACAATCCTTGATGCACTCTTCATACTGAATCAAACACAATTACATTTAGACAAATCACTATCACTCTAGACTAATGCCAGGAATGTAAAAGAAACAAAAAAGAGAACTTTTATATGTGAATAGCTGAAAATCATACCTCTCCCATCTCCAGATGAACAGCAGCACGATTTGTGATGTAAGAGATATCTTCATCATCAATCTCCATAGCCGTGGAGTAATGCTTGATAGCAGTTTCAAAGTCCTTCTTCTTGTACGCAGCATTCCCCAACTCTTTCTCCTTCAAAGCTTTCTGCTTCCTCTCCTTCTTCTCCTTTTCTTCTCCTCCAATCTCCGGCTCAGGTTCAGGCTCCGGCTCCCGTTTCCTCTCAACCTCAGGCTCCTTCCTCGGAGGCACAGCCATCTCGTCCTCCTTAACCTCAGCTTCATCTCCCGTCTGCGTCCTGATTTGAACATTCAACAAGACTCCAAGAGCTTGCATCACCCTCTGGTCTTTCAAGTAGTGATTGAGATTGCTAGGGTTTTTCTGGATTTCCTGCATCATGTTCACGAAATCGGGCTGCTTCAAGTACCCTCTCGTCGAAGCATCCGCCGTCAATTTCGCCCACATCTCCGGCCCCTGAAAAGCATCCCCAAACGGATTCGGGGCGGCGCGTGACCTCGACGCAGAAGCTTGCGCATCTGCTAAACCAGATTTCAAGGCTTCGTTGCTTGGATCGATCTCGAGCCCTTTCGTATACGCATCGACGGCGTCTTCGAACTGGCTCAAGCCCAAGTGAGCAGCTCCGAGACGGCTATATCCCTTGGCCCAATCTGGTTTAAGCTCAACGGTCTTCTTCGCGTCTGAGAGGGCTTCGTCGTAGTGATGAAGCGAAGCGTGAGCAGCGGAACGGTTGGAGAAGAGGACGTGGTTGGTTGGGGCTAGATTGATTGCATCGGTGAAGTGATTAACGGCGGAGGTGAAGTCACCGGAGGAGAAAGCTGCGTTTCCTTTAGCTTTTGCTTCGTCCGCCATGGTTGAATCTGGGAATTTTGCAGAGAGTTCTCTCTTTTTTGGTTTGTTCTAGAAGATACCTTGAGAGGAGAGACTAATGAGGTTTTAGGTTAAGGGAGTGTTTGGATACAAGTAATATCCGAGGATGAGTGTTTGTTAGGGTTTAAATAGAAGAGATTATAAATTTTACTTTTCCTTTTTTTTTTTTGTAATCCTTTTACCTGTGGAATTTCCACTGACATCGTTTTCCTTATTTTTATTTTCCTTTTATTATAATATTTTTATACCAAAATTTTGACAACATATATTTTTTTTTTTACTTTCTTTTTATTTTATAAAGGAAAAACAAAATTGTTCTAATTCTGTAATTTCTGTTTAATCGATTATTTTTTTTCCAATTATTTTACTTATTAATTTATTTTACAATTTTCAAAATCTTAAAATTCTAATTTATATTTGAAATTTTGTTTATTTAAGTTACTTACTTTATTAATTTATTTTACAACTTTCAAAAATCTTTAAATTCTAAATTATATATTTATTTTTACAATAGTTTTGTTTACAACGAACGACGTCGTTTCCTCTGGCTCGTTTTTATTGCCCCGTCGACATCTCTCCGGCACGATTGTTCAGTTCTACTTCCAATTTCCTGGTCGAAAGATCAATCATTTGGAATTGGATGTTAGATTCAATTCCAAAACATCTTTTTATTTGGACAGCCAGATCTCAGATGTCCTGAAAGGTTCGGTAAGGTTCTTCCTCATTTCGATTCCACAGGACGACATTTACGGTTTCTAGAGATTTCACATTCACCCGCTTGAAATTTCATATCAATCTTCGTGATCTCATTTTTTATTCATATTTGGGTTTCTTGTCGCGTTTTACGCATTTCGTTTTTTGAGATCTTCCATTTTTATCGATATAATACAAATGCTAGTTCTTTGCCCACCAAGTGTTTGCGTTAATTCCTGTATGAGTTTATCAGTTCAAAATATCTATGAAATAGTATGAGACTTCTCGATTTTTTTTTTCTTTTTTATTTGAATTCACGATTGTTGAAGAATCAGCTGTATTAATCGTAGATGGATTCTGGGTTACTGTTTATAATGGAGGAATAGTAGAAAATTCGTTACTTTTATATTGATAAATTTTGGTTGCAGTAAAAATTTAGAAAATTTCGATAGCAATGTCAGATTCCATATCAGCTGATCTTGTTTGTGGTTTATATGATTGTAGGAGAATATAAAAGAAGTACACTTGAGAAGCTAATCTGATGAATGGAGGAGGCTCTAATACTCTGCGTTCAGCATTCTCCTATTGTGTACAACAAGTACGAAACTATGACTATCATCACTACCTCTGTCTCCTCGAACTCCCACCTGATATGCGTAAAGCCGCGTTCGCACTCCGAGCTTTCAATGTGGAAACCGCAAGAGCCATGGACGTTGCATCTGATCCCAAAATCGGCTTGATGAGGTTACTCTGGTGGCAAGAAGCGATCGACAAACTCTACACCAAGAAACCCATCAACCACCCAGCTGCACAGGCTCTGTCTTGGGCTATCTCAGAGCATAGCATCAGCAAGCCGTGGCTAAAACGCTCGGTCGAAGCTAGAATCCGAGATGCTCAAAGAGAAGCTGACGATTTACCAGAGAGTATCGAGGAGCTCGAGAGATACGCAGAGGATACGGTTTCAACTCTTCTGTATAATACACTCCAAGCAGGAGGGATTAGTTCGACAGCAGCTGATCACGCGGCTTCGCACATCGGTAAAGCCAGTGGTCTTGTCTTGCTTCTGAAATCTTTGCCGTATCACTGTACCAGAAACCGTCACCACAGTTACATCCCTGCGAAGCTCGCGGAGAAGCACGGGTTGCTTGTGAAACAAGGAGGACGATCAGAGATCCTTCTGGATACGAATTCAAGAGAAGGACTATGCAACGTTGTGTTTGAGATTGCGTCTGTCGCCAATGTACATCTCTTGAAAGCCCGTGAACTTGCGGGAAAGGTCCCCGCGGAGGCTAAACCGGTTCTGCTTCATTCTGTGCCGGTACAAGTTCTTCTCGATTCGTTAAGTAAAGTACATTTCGACGTGTTTGATCCCAAGATTCAAAGAGGAGTTCTTGGTGTTCCTCCTCTTGTGTTTCAGTTTAAACTCAAGTGGTATTCATGGAGATCTATGTTCTGAACACTCTGTCTTTCTCTGTTTTCAAAGACATTACAGTAAACCTTTACTGTATTTGTATTTTTCCTTGTAATAATACAAATGGTGATAGATACAAAACAAAACAAAACAAAAATTGTTTCCCTTTTCTCTCTACAGTTTCATAGAATCTAAATCTATATACAATGTTACAGTGGAACAATCCCATCTTCTTGCATTTTTCTATACAACTCATCTGCTTCATGCCACATACGTTTCCTGCGAAACCCTGAGATCATCGTAGTGTACGATACAACATCAGGCTCAACTCCATTACACGACAGGCTACAGAACAAGTCCCAAGCATCTTCCACATAACCAGCCTTACACATCCAGTGAATAACGATATTATACGTCGTAACATCAAGATCCATCCCGCTCTTTCGCATATCCTCGAACACAACCAAGGCTTTCTCTATCTTCCCGTTATCACAAAGACCATCTAACAAAATGCTGTAAGTCCTTACATTGTGAGGAGAATCCATCCGTCTGAAAATCTCTTGAGCAACATCTATTTTCCCCGCTCGAAAGTAGCCTTGGATTATCGTGTTGTAAGTGACGGTGTCTCGAGTTATCCCTCTACAAGACATCTCGGTGAAGAGCTTCTTCACATCATCTACTCTCTTAGACTTGCAAAACCCGTTTATGAGAGTGTTATAAGTCACTATGTCCGGGAAACAATCGTTGCTAACCATCAAATCGAGCATTCTCTTGGCCTCGTCTACACGGTCGTGCATACAGAGCCCGTTGATCATCGAGTTGTAAGTGAAGACGTCAGGAGCTATAGACCTACGGATCATCTCCTCGTAGAGCTCTTTAGCGTCAAGAAAGTTTCCATCTTTCACAGACGCATCGATCAACGCGGTGAAAGTGATGACATTAGGGACGACATTGCTCATTACCATCCCCCTTAGAAGCCGAGCAGCGTCGTTGCATCGACCAGAGCTACAGAGACCGGTGATGAGCGAGTTGTAAGTAACTGTGTCGGGTCTAACTCCATTTCTATCCATTTGTTCGAACAGTTCCAACGCGTGGCTCACCAATCTGTTCTTGCAGAAACCATCGATGATCGTGTTGTAGATGACGACATCGGGTTTACATCCCATTGCCTCCATTCGAACAACTAAGTCTATTGCATCGAAAACTCTGTTCTCTTGACAGAACCCATTGATGAGGGAGCTAAGCGTGACGACATCGGGCTCGTGGCCAAGCTTCACAATCTTCCCGATAACAGATAAAGCAACTGAGAATCGAGAGCACCGGCATAAGCAATTGATTACGATGTTGTATGTGTAGAGATCATGCGTGATTCCCAGAAACTCCATCTGGTTGAAGAAAGAGATCACAAGATCAAACTTCTTCATTTTGGCGATTTCACTCAATACACAGCTGAAATCGACTACGGAAGGAAGAGGATGAGATTGAATCATGCGACTGAACATTTCAATTGCGACTTTTAAATCAGTTTTACTCGATCTATTTCCGAAATCACTGGAGGTAGAAAAAGTTCGTCTTCTGTAACAACAGCAACGGGTAAAGAAAGGAGCAGTTACGAGATTACCTCTCTCAAGAAGACGACGATTGAGAAATTCCTTCGCTTTCGATGCAATTGAAACCGAAAACGTTCTCTTCATTCGATTTTGATTGGGTTTGTTTGTTCATAATCAATGTGTTTAAACCCTGTAATAAAACCCTATTTTCTCCATGGGAGGGAGACGATGATGATGAGCGAGATATGGAAACCGGTTCAATCGCGGTTAAACAATTTCTAATCAAACCGGGTTGTATTTAGAACTGTGGTTGATTTAAACCGATGGGTGCCGTTGTAACGGTGAGAAATAGCTCCGTGTGGGGGGGGGCCACACATGTATACGTGTCTCGACTGCGTTTTGCATGTTCTATATTGTGTCGCAAAGCAGACAAGTGAAACAGACATCAAGTGAATGAGCCGTTGATTTTTTTGGAAGATCAAATGTTATAGTCAAAAAAATTCAATCGTCGACATCATAAACATACTTTTTTTTTTGTTTTATAACAGTTTTATATTCTTAGAATGGCTTAGCAAACTAGGTCGGTAGAATTAAATTTACTGATAACTCATTTATAGTAATATATTTGAATAAAGTCCTTTAATCTAATTAAGACACTAATAAAAAATACTAATTAATCTTCAGTCATTCGCTGGACGAAGATGCTTTAAAAACTCTGATTTAAAAAATTATCTAAGCTAATAATTTTAGTGAATTATATATTAATTTTCAAAACGAAGTATCTACACAATGGATGTTTGACACCTCCAAATTAAATTGATACAAACAAACAAAAAAGTTATTAAAAGGAATATAGTATTTCTTTGCCCACCGAAAAAGCTTATCTATTGAAAAAAAAAGTGTAACTAGATTTGAAGTTTTGTTAACAAAATAGCTTACTAGCTAATGTTCTTAAAGTTTTCTTTATTTTAATTAATGTATTATTTAAGACCATTAGCTAAGTACTAAGCTTTATGGCCATCATTTGCTTATATAGCTCGCTTTACTCTTTCAAAGTATCTCTTTCTCTCTCTTTTCTTTTTCTCTATCTGCCTGCCATGGCTGTCTCTTTTTGTTTTAGATCAGCTCTTCTTCTTCTATTACTTCTCCTAGTTCATACCGAGTCACGCGGTCGGTTCGAGCCAAAGATCCTTATGCCGTCAGAGAACGCCAAACAGGCGGCTGAGCAAGAAGAAGACACTATTGGTACGAGATGGGCGGTTCTCGTTGCCGGTTCTTCCGGTTATGGGAACTACAGGCACCAGGTACACATATATTCTCAAATATTCCTTTTACTTAACGAATTTATTCTTCTATTATTCGTTGTAAATAGTTTTTATTGAAATAATTCGTTTATTATTTTCTCCTAAGAAAATTTTGTGTGTTAAACTTCAGAATTATGTTACATGCAAAAATGCATATATATAAATATCTTTCTTTATATTATAAAGTTTTTTTGAAATTAAAAAGGGCTAGAAATATCCAATCTGAATAAGTTAAAGCCTCCAAGACTTTTCTAACAACTAAGACCCTATGGACCGACCTGTGGTGAAATTCTCCATTTTTCAAACTATTTCTGCTTTATCACATGTATTAAAGTCTTTCTTTTTTCTTAATTAAAAACAAGAATCGCAAAAGTATTTTTGTTAATTAAATTATTTATTTATTGTGCTTTGTTGCTATTGTGTTAAAGGCCGACGTGTGTCACGCATATCAAATACTGAGAAAGGGAGGTTTAAAGGAAGAGAACATTGTTGTTATGATGTATGACGATATCGCAAACCATCCACTCAATCCTCGTCCCGGTACTCTCATCAACCATCCCGACGGCGAAGACGTTTACGCTGGTGTCCCTAAGGTAATATTGTAGGTGGAAGTTGTGGTCCACATTGCTAGTCTTAATTATGCATTTATGTGTGTTTGACTTGTGGTCTTCTTTAAGTAATTTTGATGGTCTTTTACTAGTCTACTATACTAATTTGTTTGTTCAATTAGCGTCTTAAGCAGGTTTAGAGATTTACTTTTGTATTATTTTGTATACCGACTATTATTTCCTTGGATTTTTTTTTGGGTATCTTCTTAGAATCTTATTTAAATTATACTTCTTTGTCGTTGGGCGCTTTAGGTTCTTTAATATAGTTTTATTGGCTCTATTATGGAATAGATGTTGACTTAGACAGTACCAACAACTATAGTGATAAAGAGACTAGAGACATTTGGTGTGGTAAAGCAAACTTTATGTGTGGACCTCTGATTGGTTTCTCTCCTAGATTTATTATAACCACTAATTTTTTTCCTTATATATAGTTTTGAGAATTTTTTTTTCAGGACTATACGGGTCATGAAGTTACAGCCGCTAATTTCTACGCGGTGCTTCTAGGCGACAAGACGGCTGTAAAAGGTGGAAGTGGTAAGGTCATCGATAGTAAGCCCAACGATCACATCTTCGTATATTACTCCGATCATGGTGGTCCCGGAGTTCTTGGTAATTTTCAACCCTTTAATTTGTGTGTTTCAAGAAGACTTTTTAGGGGCTATGCTTATAATCAGTTGCTTAGTGGTGCGTTATTCATTTAATTTTCTGTCGTGTCAGGGATGCCAAAGCTGCCTTACATTTATGCTGCTGATTTTATTGAAACACTTCAGAAGAAGCATGCTGCCGGAACATACAAAGAGATGGTAAAATTTAGCTATAACAATTTAATTTCTTGAGTGGTTTAGTTTGTTTCTTGAAATGAAGGGAGTGGTTTACATTATTGTATTTGTATAATTGTGATAATGTAGGTTGTATACGTAGAAGCATGCGAAAGTGGGAGTATATTCGAGGGGATAATGCCAAAGGATTTGAACATTTACGTAACAACGGCTTCAAATTCACAAGAGAGTAGTTATGGAACATATTGTCCTGGCATGAATCCTTCTCCTCCATCCGAATACCTCACTTGCTTGGGAGATTTATATAGCGTTGCTTGGATGGAAGACAGGTACATATATATATATATATATATAATGTACCTTATTGTTAAGTGCTTTTATGTGATATATAATATTGGTTAATTTGTTGTGATTTGTTTGCAGCGAGACCCATAATTTAAAGAGAGAGACCGTAAAGCAACAATACCAAACGGTACTAGGGAACTTTTGTTTACCTTTTTTACTCGGTCATTGGTTTGAGAATGTGAAATGTATAGTGGATCTTATATCATGGTCTGTAGGTGAAGATGCGGACGTCAAACTATAATACTTATTCCACTGGCTCCCATGTGATGGAATACGGTAACAACAGTATCAAGTCGGAGAGGCTTTATCTGTACCAAGGATTCGATCCTGCCACCGTTAATCTCCCTCCCAACGAATTACCGGTCAAGTCACCAGTGGGAGTTGTTAATCAACGCGACGCAGACCTTCTCTTCCTTTGGCATATGGTATTGGACTGTTCTGTTTTGCTTACAAAGTTATGAGTTTAGGTTATATAAACCGACAATAAAGATTTGCTGTTGCTTAAACCATAATTGCTTTGGTTTATAGTACCGAACATCAGAAGATGGGTCGAGGAAGGATGAGATATTGAAGGAATTAACCGACCAAACGAGGCATAGGAAACATTTAGACGCAAGTGTCGAATTGATAAACACGATTCTGTTTGGTCCCACGACGAATGTTCTTAACTCGGTTAGAGAACCTGGTTTGCCTTTGGTTGACGATTGGGAATGTCTTAAATCAATGGTAAAGGTTTCTTGTACGTACTTCTATTCAAGTTTATCTAGCACATTTAACGTTAAAGGGTTGGCTCTAAATATGTACTTTAAATCTTTCAGGTACGCATATTTGAAACGCATTGTGGATCACTAACGCAATACGGGATGAAACATATGCGAGCGTTTGCAAACGTTTGTAACAACGGTGTCTCGAAGGAGCTGATGGAGAAAGCTTCCGCTGCGGCGTGTGGTGGTTATGAGGCTCGCTTCATGTCGCACCCGTCTATAGTGGGCTATAGCGCCTGATTCTGAAGGTTGTCATGATCTTTAAGTGTTTTCAAGTTCTACTGTTAGGATGATCTATCTCAAAATAAAATAAATGCTCTTCTTTGCTAGGTTAGTTGTATGTAAATACGTGCGTATCAATAAGGTGTTACTTCCTCGGTTTTTTTTTTGGGATCTTGTAGTTTATTTCCTAAATAATGTGATAATCTCAGCTATATTAAATTACGTTGAAAAGGCCGAGGACAACATTCTATAGTCTATGGACACCAAAGATGGATGTGTAACATGTGTTCATAATTGATTTGCTAAGTTTTTTATATGTTAAGTTTTATGACTTCTAATTTAAGTGGAGAGTCTTGGAGATGTGGTTCTAAACATTTAAATATCATTATTAGAGATGGACGATTCTATTCTTGTTACCTTGCTTTGGGTGGTCCAACGTGATTTATAGGTGGATGGAGATGAGTTTATTTTGTTCAATTGATGACAAAATTCAGAGCAACAGAATTATTTAAATGAGTTTTTAAAATTAGGCAAAATTTTAAAATTTTAAAATTCATCCATGATGATGATTCACTCCAAGATAATAAATGATTAAAATACATTTATCTAACTAGAGTATTATGATATAAATTTCAGATGAATAAATAGCTTTAATATAAATGATATTTTCAGTTATTTAAAAAAAATTAAAAATTACATTTTTTTGTCAAAATTGTGAAATTATATTTTTTTGCAAAATTTGTAAAACAGTATTTTTTCCGTCAAAACTATAAAATCATATTTTTCCGTCTAAATTTCAAAATTGCATTTTCTCATTAAAATTAAAAATCTTGTGTCATGTTTAAACTACAAAATCATTTTTTCGTTAAAATAGCAAAATTGTGTTTTCTACCAAAATTGTAAATCACGTTTTTTTGCCATAATTGCAGAATCGCATTTTTTTGCCAAAACTATAAAATTATATTTTCCAGTTAAAACTATTAAATTACATTTTCTCGCTAAACAAAAAAATCATGTTTTTGTTTAAAACGTAAAATAATTTTTTTCACCAAAACTATAAAATCGAGTTTTTCCCAGAACAAAAATTACGTTCTCTCGTCAAAATTATAAAATCAGATTTTCCCGTTAAAATCGCAAAATTAAAATTTTCTGTTCAAACCGCAAAATTTTCTTTTCCCATTAAAACTGGAAAATCGTAATTTTCTACCAACATGGTGAAAATATGTATTCCGTTAAAATGCAAAACCTTATTTTCCGTCAAAACTATTTGATTAATAAATATATTTTATATTATATTAAAATCTATACTATAAAAGATGGTCAATTCTCTCTATATGAGTGTCACCTCATCATTTTGGTTTATTGTAGAAATGATATATGTCATTTTTTAAAATTTAATGATACAAATTATGTAAAATACAGTTAATGCATAAATTTAATGTATTATTAATCATAATACTAAAAGAATATGAAAAATATGAAGAATTAGATAATATATTTTCATAACAATATATACATAATATCCAAAAACAATTATTGAATATATATTTTGTGGTAGTTTTTATAACAAAATTTATGTTTTATATATTTAAGAGTTTTTTCTTATTTTTATTAATATTATAAGATATTATTATATTATACAAATATAAAAATAACAATTATTGATATTTTGAACCTTAAAAAATTAGAAGAAAAATTTATACAATATTATAATAAACTTTAAAATAATTTCTTTATAAACTAATAATTATTTGATCATTTATTTTTTTTCAAACTTGACCCATTAATCATTTTAAAATTAATAAGATATCAAAGTCCTAATATATATATTTATAAAATATTTAATGCAGCTGTATAAATTAGAATTATAAATCAATTATTTAAGTTCATAAAAATATAAAATCACGGCATTGCTATTGTGTAAATCTACACCGTGAACAAGTACGACCTGTTAAATAGAGTCGTCTCTATCTATGTTGTGCTTGAAGAGTTTCTCTAATTAATTTTTGTTATATAATACTTCTCTGATTTGCATTATATCCATTTAAAAAATTCTATATATACAAGGTATAATATATTTCATATTTTCTTATCAATAAAATATTGATCACATATATAGTTAATATTCATATAATATGTAAATATGTATTGTATGTTTATTCAAATACACAATATCCTTTAATTTTTTTTAAATATACGATAAAATAAATTGTAACTACACTTTTTAATAAATTATATTGTGAAAAAAATCTGCGCATCGTGCGGATAATCATCTAGTGAAAATTAATATAGTTAAAATTAAGGTTACAAATATAGTTATTTATAAATATGAGTATTTGGGTCATTTTGTTATTAAAATCATCTAAACGGAGATGTAAGTTTATAACGAACTAATCAAACAAACAAAGTTACATCCATATGCATCATCCAATTGAACACCAAAAATAAGATAGAATGACGTTGAGATGCAGTATTTGATGGATTTAAATGAAGCATATGGATGGAAATGATAGATGAAAAAACAAACAGGCCCTCAACTTATTTTGCGGTGGTCAACTTATTTTATAAACATTGACTTATATTTTAGGTTGGTTAACTTATTTTATAACAGTCGATTTATATTGGGTCGATCAATTTATTTTACAACAGTCAATTTATATTTTGGATTGATTGACTTATTTTGAACCAGTTGACTTACTTTGAGTTGGTCGAATTAATTTGCAATATTCAACTTATATTTTAAGTTAGTCAAATTATTTTAAAACAATCAACTAATTTGAAAAAGTTTACTTATATTACAACAGTTGACTTTTATTTTGGATTGGTCAGCTTAGTTTACAACAATCGACTTATTTTGGGTTGGTCAGCTTAATTTACAACAGTCAACTTATATTTTGGTTTAGTCCACTTATTTTACAACAATCGACTTATTTTACAACAATCAATTTATTTTATATTACTCAACTTATTTTACACTAATCAATTTATTTGAGAGAAAATGACTTATATTACAACGGTCTACTTATTTTTGATTGCTCTATTTATTTTTACCACAATTGACATCTATTTAGGTTGATCAAATTATTTTACAACACTCAATTAATTTTAGATTGATCGACTTAAATTACAACAGTCGACTTATATTTTGAGTTAGTCGGCTTAATTTATAATATTTAATTTATATTCTGGGTTAGTCGACTTATTTTAATACAATTAATTTATTTGAAAAGAGTCAATTTATTTTACAACAATTGACTTATATTTTTGGTTGGTCAACTTATTTTGGATTGATCGATTTATTTTGGATTGGTGTACTTAATTTATATTAATCACCTTGTATTTTAGATTAGTCAACTTATTTTTCAGTCGTTGACTTATTTGACAATAATGACCTTGTATTTCGACAAGTGACTTATTTTAGGTTAGTCGACTTATTTTACCACAGTCGATTTATTTTACTTTGATTGACTTATTTGACAGCAATTGTTTTATATTACAACAATCTACTAATTTTGGGCTGGTTGATTTATTTTACAACAGTTGACTTATATTTTGGATTGTCAACATATTTCACAACAGTGAACTTAATTTGGATTAGTCAATTTATTTTACAACAATCGACTTATATTTTAAATTAAAAGACTTATTTTGCAATAATCGGCTTATTTGACAATAGTCAACTTATATTACAACAATCAAACTTATTATGGATTACTTGAATTATTTTACAATAGTTGACTTATATTTTCGATTAGTCAGTTTGTTTCTCCATTCAGATGATTCATCTAGTTGGAGATGAACAGCCAAATGAATCATCTGAATGAGTTTTTAAAAATTAAGCCAAAATTTTAAACTCATCTAGATGGACATGATATAAACGATACTTTTCAATATTTCAAAAATCAAGTTTTCCCACCAAAACCATGAATCACATTTTTCTGCACAAAATATGAAATAGTATTTTTCCGCCAAAACCGGAAAATCACCATTTTTTCTTCAAAATCACAGAACCACAGTTTCTTACCAAAACCGTTACTCACCAAAACTGTGAAATTGCATTTTTTCGCTAAAATCAAAAATCATGTTTTTTTTTTAAACCGCGAAATCTCTTTTTCTCGCCATAACCGTGAAATAACGTTTTTTGCTAAAATTGTAGAACCACGTTTTTCCACCAAACCCGTAAAATCACATTTTTTCGTCAAAAATACAAAATTGCATTCTCTTCCTAAGATCAAAAGTAATGTTTTTTTGTTTAAACAGTAAAATTGCTTATCCCACCAAAACTAGCAAATCACGTTCTCCTGCCAAAAGCAAAATCATATTATCTTGTCAAAATTACAAAATCGGGGATTCTCGTTAAAACCGCAAAATCGTGTTTTTCACTAAAAATGTGAAAATATGTTTTCAGTCAAAAAGCAAAACTTTGTTTTTCGTCAAAACTATTAGATTAGTAAATATATTTTACATCAAATTAAACGTAAATCTGAAATAATTAAAACTACAATTACAAATATGATTATATGATAATATGAGTATTTTGTTATTAAAACCATCTAAATGAAGATGTAACTTTACAACCAACTACTTAAACAAACAAAATTACACTATGATGCATCATCGAATTGAACAACCAAAAATAGAATAAACAATATTGAGATGTTGCATTTGGATGGAGCATTTAAACGAAGCATTTAGATAGAAATGATATATGAGGACACAAACAGGCCCAACTTATTTTGCGTTGGTCAACTTATTTTATAAATATTTATTTATAATTTAGGTTGATTGACCTATTTTACAACAGTCGATTGTTATTAAATCGATTAATTTATTTCACAACAGTCGACATATATTTTGGGTTGATCGATTTATTTTACAACAATCAATTTATTTGAGTTAGTCTACTTAATTTATAATACTCTACTTATATTTTGGATTAGTCGACTTATTTTATAACAATCAACTAATTTGTAAGGGGTCAACTTATATTACAATAGTTGACTTATATTTTGGGTTGTTTAACTTATTTTACAACAATCGACTTATTTTAGGTTGGGAAAAGCTTACTAACCTTACAACTCCAGAAGGAATTACTTTCTTACCAACTTGGTACACTTTATTTACAACAGTCAACTTATATTTTGGTTTGTTCGGCTTATTTTAGAATAATCGAATTTTTTGACAACAATTGACTTATATTACAATATTCGACTTATTTTGGGTTGGTAAACTTATTTTACAACAATCAACTTATTTTACAATAATCAACTTATTTGACAGCAATTCACTTATATTACAACGGTCTACTTATTTTGCATTAAGTCTACTTAATTTACAA